GTAGGATTCTCTATAGTCTGTGAAGCATGATTGTTGCCCGTGATTGATTAAAGTGCTGAGATTTACAAGTGAATTACATAAAGACAAGGAAGCTAATGTAAATGAAGGGTCCATCATTACACTAAACTGCACTTAAAAATAAAAATATTGCTATTAGCTACCTTTGTGTACTATCATGCTTATTACCAAATAGTTGTGAGACAGCAAGAACACCAAGTAAAGGCAATAAAAGTTCTTGGATATTCAGTATTTCCTTAGGGCAACGGTTCTAACACAGGTTTAGGCCATAGATGGACTTAATGGGCCCTTGAACCCCCTAAAATGGTACACAAAATGGTACTTTCCTAAGTAAAGGGTCATCTCTTCCTACATCTCAAGGAAGTCTGATATCCAAAACAGATAGGTGCCTAACTAAGGTTATTTTATCAGAAACCAGTTAAGAATTTAACCCCGTGGATGCTTTACTTTTAAAAAAAAAAGATAAAGGGGAAAACAAAGAACGAACACCCACTGCCATCAAGTTGACTGCAACTTACAGCAACCCTATAGTACAGAGTTGAACTGCTCCACTGAGTTGCCAAGGCTATAAATCTTTATGGAAGCAAACTCCCTCCTGTTTCTCTCACAGAGCAGCTGGTGGTTTCGAACCACCGACCTTTATAATAGCTGAATGTCTTAACCACTGCACCACCAGAACTCTTTTACTTTCAAAAAACCAACCAAATCCACTGCCATCGCATTGATTCCAACTCACAGCAACCCCCATTGGGTTTACAAGGCAGTAAATCTTTACGGATGTAGATTGCCCCCTCTACCTTCCTGGGAATGGCTAGTGTGTTTGAACTACCAACCTTCTGCTTAGCAGTCAAATGCCTTAGGCGCTGCACTACCAGAGCTCCTTTACTTTGAAAAAGAAGTGTTAATCAAAGTGGAGGAAAAGTTAAGTTGGGTGATTTTGAGAAGCCTCTAATATTTTAGTATCTCCCTACTTCCTTGTCAAGAACTGGTCAAAACCTAGTAAAGAGTCAAAAAATGGCCAGAAGAAGGGCAACTGAGATAAGCAACTAAAGACTACTCAGCTTCTTTCCCTTCTCACAAGAGAAAAGCTACAGGTGAAAGCAACAGGCCACAAGCTTTCTCTGGTTTCAGCATCTGCTTTCCAAAAGGACCTCCTGAGAAGGGAGCTGTTTTCTTTCAAAATTAAACATTCTGAGGTGACAAGATCCTGACCCAAGCACACAAAGTACTGGTGCTTGACTCCCCATTTGCATACTGTAGGTTTTTTTGTATGACCACATATCAGAAGTCTATGTGGAGGAGCTAAGGGACCACAGGAAAAGACAAACGTGTGCTGGAGCTGTCAGAACTGGTCCTAGTCCCGCACACCTTTCCCTTCTACCACGCTCCCAGAGAGAAAGGAACCTGACAGTCTCTTTTCACTGGGCAAGATAAATTTTGTTGTTGTTGTTGTTGTTACGTGCCGTCCAGTTGGACCCGACTCACAACGACCCCTCCTTGGGTTTCTGAGGCAGTATTTAGTTCTATAAAAGTTAATTTGCCATTTCAATACCAACCACAACAACAAGAACAGGTTTCAGTTCTTAACACATTCCAGTATTTCCTGTGTCTCCTGATCAAACTGGTGGAAAAAATCTCTTTAGGAAATAAAATCAATCAAGTCACCTAGTGTAACATTTGTTTTCACCTAGAGAAAAAGAGGAAGATCTCACCACACTCCAAAAAGTGGCAGTCGGAAACCAAAGAAATAATGTTCCAAAGCAAAATGTAGACATCATGGACAGAAGCAAACGAGGACTGAGCTCCGAGAAGCACGGGCGGAGTGGGTCTCCAGAGAAAGGCGCGGGCGCAGGACAGCCAAGCAAAAGGCCCTCACCCTGCCAGAATCACAGCACCTTGACACCGGCCTGTCCAGCCTTCTCCTGCTTCGTCAAGTCTTAGTCTCTAATGGTCTGGAAATCACTCGCAGGAGTAACATCTAAGAAAGACATACGTGTATTTACCACCCGGAGAAATACAACACCCTAGATTCAGGGCGCTTAGCGCTCGCGGTCAGCGGAGCTCCGAGTTTTGGTTGGACAAGCCTGTTTCCCGCTACCCCGCCAGCCGGCGTTCGGACGCAGGACTCTCCGACCTCCACATCGGCCGTCCCTCCGGACGCAGCGCCAGCACCTGGGAGACCCCACGGGCAGCGGGTCAAGACGTTCGAGCGTTGTTCCAGTGATGCTTGGCCAAAGGCCCGGCCCCGCGCCCGCCCGTTCCTACCCCGCGCCCGCAGCCGCCCGCCCTGAGACCATAAGGCCGGCCTGTCGCCCCAGCTCCTGTCACTCACCAGCCCGGCCTGGGCAGCGGGCGCCCAAGGCTCCCCACGGGAGCTGGGCCCCCCGGGCCTCCAGGTTTCGGCCCGCCCCCTGGCAGGCAGCGCAGGTGACTGAGCCCCGCAACTGCGGCCTCTCACCAGCGGCTCGGTCCAGCTCCCGGCGCTGCCCACTGGGTACGGATCAACAACAAGATGGCGGCCAGCCGAGGGGGCGGGGGCCGGGCGCCATAGCAACAAGGACGGCAAAGAACCCGCCCTTAACTCAGTCTGTTCCCAATCAACGGCCTCTGACCCCGCCTCCCTGAAGAGTGCTTCCCGGTGACAGGTCATCCCACTTGTCAATCAGAGCCTGCCCGCCCTCGTCCTGCCGAACGCCTGGGACACGTGACTGTGACGGCACGGGTTGGCGCGTGCGCGACTTGCTCGGAGTTGCTACCTGCAGAGCTCTTGCCGGCAACTCCGAGGCCCTAGCGCCCTTGTCCTTTTCGTGTGTTGCCCCTGTTCAGAGTCCGCCGAGTATTTTCACACACGTACGCATACCTAGGAAATGCCCTCTGTGCTATTTGCCTTTTTTTTTTTTTTTTAATCACTTGCTCTTGCCCGCTGTTCATTGGTAAGAAACAAGTGCAGAGAGGGGAGGCCGGACCAAGGTCATATTACCCCTTGGTGAAGGCATTGTGTCTCGCACCTTCTCTTACTGGCTTCAAACAATAATGCCCTCTTCCCAGCGGCTTCCTTAGCTTTGCCTCTCATCAGCCTTGACGCGCAGCCTTCTGTGTTGTCTCTAGCAGCCCTTAGCGTTTTACCCACGCTGTTCCCTCTATCTGGAGCTCTGTCCCAAGAGCAAGCCCTGGTACATAGCAGGCACTTCCTCCTTCCTGCCCCAGAGCATCTTGAGTTCCTGTGGCAGCATATTGTCCCCTCCACTATCATGACTTGCCTCCCAGGCAGCCTGCCCTAGACCGTGAGTGCTTGGAGTTCAGTTATCCCTGGTCCCCCACACAGAATACCTGGCTTGGCTCCAGAATTAGGAGTCCATACAGTTACACCACCTGGTCCATCGCCAAGTCCATCTCCAAAAAGCTAGCTCTTTGACTTTTGAGTCTTATCCTCTGAGCCTACATCTGTAAAATGAGGCTAACAGTCAAGCTCCTCAGATCTGATGGTACAGATTTAACCAGCCCTTAGAGCATGGTAAGGAGCTCTGTGGTGCAGTGCCTAAGGCATTTGACTACTAACCAGAAGGTTGGCAGTTCAAGTCCACCCGCCACTCCTCACAAGGCAGACTGGGCAATCTACTTCCATAAAGATTTATTGCCCTGGAAAGCCAATGGGGGTCACTGTCAGTTGGAATTGACTGGATGGCAGTGGATTTGGTTTTCGGTTTAGAGCATGGTAAGTGATCAGGAAAATTCCATCTACAACCACATCCTGTAACAGCATGCCCCCAGGCTGCTGTCCCTGAGGTCTGGTCTGATGCCCTCACTTTATTGTGAGCCCTGTGAAGCATGTTTTTACCTCACAGAAGGCTTCTATACACACACACACACACACAAGCACGCACACACACACGCGCGCGCGCGCACACACACACACACACGCCCTGGGTCTGTTACTCTAAAGCCTAAAATACAATAACTGACTCAGGAAGTGAGGTCTTCCAGTGCCCTGAGAGGGTTCAGGCCCACAGACTTGGCAGAGGATTGAAGAAATTAGGGCTACTACAGGAAAAGAACCTCTGGGCCCCAGCCTGAGTTTAAAGGTAGCCTCACTCAAAGGCTCTTGGAGAGCTGGCAGAAGTCCAAGAACTAATGCCAAGCTGAATATGGAGATCAGTGGGGCTTGCCCTCCTGCAGGTTACTATAGGCCACCTGGTTATGTACAACAGCTCAACTCAAGGCCAGAAGCATCAAGGGCTGAGTAACAAGAAGAACAGACCAGGAAGAAATGAGGACATCCCTTCAGACTGTCATCAACCCTTCCATGGCCAGCCATGCCACAGGACTGTCAAGTCTGCACTACCCCTCACCCTAGTGCAAAAGTTCCAGATCCTTCCCAAGAAAACCCATATAGTCAGCAAACATCCCTGGATATTGCTTACACAGCAACAATGTGCTCCTCTCTGTGGGAAAAAAGAAACCCCTGGGCCCTGTTCACTGGCCAGAGCAGATGGCCTCTGAGGAGACAGGCAGTTAGAGGCCCCCTCAGTCACTGACAAGGATAACAGCCTCTTACTTCTGTGGAACATCAATCAGAGCACCATACAATGTCTTCTCCAAAGGAAAATAACCCTACTACTCCCTAGAGTAGGAGCTCTGGTGGTGTAGTGCCTAAGGCATTTTACTGCTAACCCACCAGCCACTCCTTGGAAGGAAGACTGGGCAATCTACTTCTGTAGAGATACCGCCTTGGAAACCTAAGGAGGGGTTGCTATGAATTGGCTCCGACTCAGCAGCAGTGAGTTAGTTTTGTTTTGACTCCCTAGAGTGTGCCTATCCAGGTGAGGACAAGGAATCCCAGATCTCAGAGCTCTCCCACATGTACATTATAAGCCTGGGACTTTTTTATTTGTAATTTTTTTTTATTATTGAATCAACTTGAAAACCCAGTCCATGATCTTATAAAGAAGAAATTCCACTGGTAGTAAGGCAGCTCTTTGGCCTCAGAGCCAGCGCCGGGCTCCTGTGTACGTGTTGAACAAGTATTCTCTGCCTGTACCTGAGCCCAGATGGTGATAAGAAAGAGAGCAATACTTACTCAGAAGAATTGGCCCAGTTCATTGAAAGCAGGGGAAGGTATTTCAGGACCCTTGGTGTGACCCTCCCCCTTCTGCTGGGATCCAACTTGTCCCCTTCCGCCCTTCTCATTTCAGCAAATCCTTTGAGGCCCTCAAATGCACAGCAAACTTTCTTGATTCTCCAAAAATTGACCCCCAAAATAGACACCAACTCTTCTAAGTGCCAGATCACTCAGCCATAATTCAGTAATGACTTTATGCCTCCCTCCCCATGGGCAGGACCACACCAGGTCTGGGTCATCTCCTGGTACCATAGGTGTTTAATAAACATTGGCTGAAGGGTGAGTGGGATGGGACATTGGCTGAAGAGTGATGAGGGAGCGCAGACCCTATTCTGGGATAGAGTAAATGGTAGATGCCTGGTAGTAGGAGATATGGAGATGGGATGACAAAAGGAGATAGGCCCAGGTAATGAATGGTTTGGGAAGAAGATGACTCACGGGGATCCTGTGCTCTGCCATCAAAAGGCTGCTAAGAGGAAGAATGAGAGAGTACAATGGGTTAGACCCTGGCCTGCTCTGAAGCTGCCAGGGCCCCACCTGCCTCCTCCATCCTAATGGTGCTGGAGTGATAGGCACCCTTGGCAAGGGTGGAGAGTACTCTGCAGTAGCCTCAGTGCCCAACACCCCACTTGTGGGTTGCCATACCAGGTTCGTGATGCTGTTGGGTGTCTGGGATATTTCTGTCCTCAGTGCCTCCATGAACCCATCAGTGGACTCTTTAGTTCCCTGAATGTTGGAACTAAGTAGGAACAGGAGTACAGGATAAGGCTCAGGGCCCCAGCCTGAGTTTAAAAGGTAGGCTCCCAGGGGTAGAAGTGAATAAAGGCAGCTGACCTGTTCAGCAGCAGAGCCTGGGCTGGCTTATTTGTTGTCTGAAACACCAGGGCTACCCTAAAATGCCAGGAGGAGGGAGCAAGCAGTGAGGGCAACAGGCCTGCTGGTTCCAGGAACCAGCTTCATTCATTTGCCTCTTTATATTGGAGACAGTCAATGTGATGCCCACTTTTTGACTCCACCTTCCCCTTAGCTTAGCCCTGTGCCCACAAGAAACTCAGAGTCTACAGGGTCAATGCAGGTTTCAAATGTGGGCCAGGGGTCAGTAATAGGGGATAATGCCCAATGCGTGACATATCAGAGTCTCGAGCCCTGGCCCTCATCCGCATCTGTTCTGAGTTCCACCACAATGGAGATCGTTTCCTCCCAGTGTCTCTCTGACTCTGAAGACCTCTGGGGGGGTAGGCGACCCTCTTCAATATAATTGATTTGTCTGCCCATCAACTTAGGCAAGGAGCTCTGGTGGCATAGTGCCTAAGGCATTTGACTGCTAACCAGAAGGTTGGCAGTTCAAACTCACCAGCCACTCCACAGAAGTCAGACTGAATGATCTACTTCTGTGAAGATTTACCACCTCGGAAACCCAAAAGGGGTTAGTATGAGTCAGAAACTACTTGGTGGGAGTGAGTTTGGTTTATCAACTTAGGTATTGTCATCAAATATTAGGTGAAACCACCTATCCACAGACAGGGTCCATAAGCAGATAGAGAGAAGACAGGAAGTACAAGGATAAGAGCCATACCCCCTGAGGAGCCTGCTGAGGAGCCAGCTCAGAGCCAAGAGGAGAAGGACACCAGTCACTGTCAGCACCACCACAAACCAGGGCTCTGGCTTCCAGAAAGCCTCTGTGTCTGTCACAAGCAGGGGTGTCATCGCTGAGGGCATCTGCAATGGAGGTTACAGCCTCAATAGTGCCCTGCCAAACACCCAGACCATCCAGCCTTCAAACTCCTCCATGGGCTGAGCAACTCCACACCTCAGATTCACTCTTCTGTATTCCCAGGTTTTTTACACCTAAGGTTCCCTCTAGAATGCCTTCCCCCATTGTTCCACCTGGAAAACAGGGTCTTCTCATCCTCCAAGTTTCTCTCTCCCAGCACCTCCCCAAGGACCTAAGGACCCCTCTCTCACAGTGGCTCTGTAGGTGCTGGTGGTCACGGTGCTGGTTCTCCAGGGAACTAGATGCACAATGATGGTGGCTGTGGTGCTGAGGTGGGGGGTGAAGGGGCCTGCATCAGCCACACAGATCAATAGCTCATAGGTATGGGGCTGTTGTGACCAGGGTGGCCCCAACATGGGGTCACTGTGCACCAAGGCAGCACCTTGCATGTTGAATTGGCTCTGGCTATTCCCTGCAAACAGAGTGACAGGAAAAGGGGACCATTTCTGGCCCTGGTCTGGCCATTCTCAATGGCCTGGTGGTTTCCTATGGCTCTCACCTCCCACAATGCTGTAGGAGAAGGTTAGGCGCTGTGGCTCCTGGGGGATCCGGCATAACACTTTGGTCACTTCCACACGATGGCCAGGGGTTGTGTGGATGGTGAGTTCCTGGAATGGGGGCTCACACTCAGGTGCATGTTCATTCACATCCTGCAAAAAAGCAGCCCAGTCAAGTGTGAGGGCAACTCACTCCACAAATTACCAGGCCAGCCCGTCAACCCCTCCCACCACAGCCAGAGTCCAGGTGTCAGGCATCAGGCGCCAAAGCTTTCCACAATGAGACCTCACCCCTCTCCATTCAACCAATCAAGAAAACTGAAGCAAAGAGTAGGAAAGCAGTCACAGAAGGAGAGCTAAAGCCTTGTCTTTCTGATTCTTTCTGAAATCTTAAGGCTGAATTACCTCAACCTCGATAGTAATGGTGCAGGAGCCTGAGCGGTGGCAGGTGGGGTCCTGGTCTTGGCCATGGTCAATCAGCTGGACAGTAAGCCTATACAACTTCTGCTGCTCGTAGTCCAAAGGCCCCAGGAGGTGAACCTCCCCTACAAGGGGTGACCATACCTCAGCCCACAGAGGCAACTCTGGGCCCACCTTCCTCCATCCCAGCCCTGGGATGGGAGTACCACTAAGACGGTCCACAGTAAAGATGGCAGGCCCATCAGAGGTGTAGTACTCAATGCTGTCTTGTGGGTAATCCATGTCCATGCCCACTACAGAACCCAGCAGCATGTGGGGCCTTGCATCCTCACGGACCCGGAACGTGCGTGGGGCACAGGTTGGAGAGAACTCATTGACAGGTGTCACCATCACCAGTACTGGCACCTCAGCTGGGAGCCATATAGCAATCAAGGAGCTGGCCTGCAGTGTCCAGCCCTGCCCTAGGGGGTCTAAGGTGGGGAAGGGCAACAGCTCTTCCCTGCTGGAGGCCCAAGAGAGGAGATATATCCCACCCCTTAAGGGTCTAAAATGCAGACAACTCTCTCCTACTGGTTTCTGAGGAGAGAACTTGTCCTGGTGATCTGCAAGGGACGCAGAGGTGGGGACAGGGAAGCATAGTCCTGTCCTGAACGTCCATGCAGGGACCTTTGTTTGAGGTGACATGAGCCAGTCTAGTACGATCACTCACTGGTCATCCGGGGCTGACCATCATCAAACACCAGAATGGAAGCTGTATGCTGGAAACAGGCCCCAGGAGTGTCACAATCCAGCGTAGTGTTCACCTGGCCAGAAGGGCCACAGGGTGAGGCCCACACATGGCCTGGGAGAACTTTGAGCCACTCTAAGCTGCCTAAGACCAAAGCATCTGCAGATCAGCCTACTCTTGGCCCTATTTTTGGCTCTTCCACCACCACCATCCCCATCCCCTGAAACTAGGCTTCCACAACTTCTTGGCCTACTGGCCCCTTCCTGCATTAAGCACCCCGCATGTGGGTCTGGCGGCGGGGGCTGGGCACCTCCAGGACTCTGTCGCGAAGGCAGAAGCTAGCCGGGCTGGGAGGGTTTTGGAACCACAACTGGTAGTCGAAGGTGGCGCTCGCTGAGTCCGGGTCCGTGCAAGTGAGGATGTTCAACACAGTGCCCACAGGCGCTGTCTCGGGGATTTGAGTCCTAGCAGTGGAAGGCAGACGTCAGGGCGGGAGCAGGGGCCAGGCAGTGAGCCGTGATTCTCGCCCCAGCAACCCAAGTAAGGCTCCCGGGTACTCACACCACCAGTGCGGGGAGGCAACGCGGAGGCCAGCGGTTGACCGACCGCACGTTGACTGTGAGATTGAGCTCAGAGCTGGCCCACGGCCGGAGTCGCTCGAAAGCCCTCACCTGCAGCCTGGTGACCACCGCGCCTGGGGCCCGCGCTAACTCCAGGGGCGCGGTGAGACGGACCAAGCCGTCCGCTGGGCAGGGTGAGGAGTCGGGGACTCAGAGTCCGGCCCCGCCCCCAGCTTGGCCCCACCCCCGGCGCCCCACTGGGTCGCTGAGCAAGGAAGGTGTTGAGCCATCCTCCAAAACCCGTCTCTAACTCTGGCCAGGCTCGCAAACCCCACCTCTGCCGCAATCTCTGCCCCTGCCCGGGCCCCGCCAACATTTTCCACCGAGGCGTGAAGGAGATGATGCCCGTCGCTTCTCTGAGCTAGACTCAGAGGCAGAGCCATCCCCGTCTTACCCCTCCCCTCCCAAAACCCTTACCATGTCCAATGGAGTAGAGCTGGCAAGGCACCGGGGAGAGGATTTCGTAGCGCACATCGAAGCCTCGGGCCCGGACCTGAACCACTTCACTTCCGGGAGCTAGGTTCTCAGGAATGGTGATGTTCTGGGCTTGCTTCCTGGGCCCAAAGGAGGGCACTGGCTCTCACCTACCTCTGTCTACTTCTGGCACAGTCCGTAGGCCTGCCCCTTCCCTAGGCCGCTGAAGCAAGCTAGGGCTGCTCCAGCAGCCCCAGATTTTTGCCCATACCCTACCCCTGATTTCCTGGGGCCAGGTTCTGCCTCTCCCATTGTTAATAAGGTTGAGAAGCCTTACAGAAAGGACACTTCATTGGAGGGAACAGGTAAAACCTTCACTGTCAGCATCCCCTCGCAGTTTCTGCCTTGTCCGAAGGTCACCAAGATCCGGAGCTGGAAGACCTGAAGTGCACACAAAACAGGAAGTGAACCACAGTGTGTTCTTCTATATATCTGTGCCCACTCACCCACTCAAGGAGCCCTGACAGTCACCCTCCCCATGATCAGTCACCCTGCTGACAGGTATATCTTCGAACTCCACTCCTTTGGGCCATAGATTCTTCTGTTGTTGGTATGTGCTGAAGGGTCAGACCCGACTCATAGCGACCCCTCCTTGGGTTTCTGAGGGGATATCACTACTGAAGTAGATTGCCCAAACTTCCTTCCGAGGAGTGGCTGGTGGGTTTGAACTGCCAGACCTCTGGTTAGCAGTCAAATGCCTTAGGCACTACACTACCAGAGCTCCTTAGATTCCTCTATTAGGATACAAATAGCCCAAGAGTGATATGTGAATCATTCACAATGTAATTATCATCTTACAGTTGCTAGGAGCCAGTCACCAAGAGATGGAAATTTTAAAGAAAGAACTTCTCTAGTTCCTTCAGACTCCACTGGCCACTTTACCCAGAACTGTCTCTCTCCCTGATTGCTCTAAACATTCTCCTTATTAGTACAACTATGAACTCCAAGAGCCAGGGACCTCTTTATGGATTCCAGATGCCAACACAGACCCAGGCCAAGATGGGGATAGCCAGCATGGGGCAAAAGGTGCAGAGTGTGGGCTAGGTTTTAGAAGCAGCAGTATAGTCAAGAACGCCAAGAACAAAGAAACCTCCAGGAAGTGGTGTCTCTATCACATGCCCAATCCATAGATACCCCTGGGTCCCAGTTCATGCTCACTTTTTGAGCCTGACCTTTGAGGCCCTGGGCTGGTGCCTGCAGCCAACCTTGTTGATTGATGGAGAAAGATCCAGGAAAGTGTGGAGGGTCCTGGGCACTGATGATGCTCTTCTGACAGGACAGAGATGCAAGAGGCCCCAGCTACTTCCTGGTACTCCAAGCACCCCTGTCAACATCCTCAACCTGATGGGCACCTGCCTAACCCACCTCTTCCATGCTCCAGCCACTGGCCTTCACCCCAGCCTAGGCCCCCCTCCCTCCACCTAACCCTTGGCCCTGATCCTCAATCCTCTCTGCTTTTAAACCAATTATTTTGTTTTTTAACTGTATTTCTTTTTTGGATTTTGTTTAATCACTTGTACGTGACAAAAAAAAAAAAAAAAGAAAAAGAAATCACTGCTGTCAAGTAGTTTCCCACTCATAGTGACCCCTCCTTGGGTTTCCAAGGCAGTATCTCTACAGAAATAGATTGCTCAATCTTCCTTCCTAGAAGTAGCTGGTGGGTTTGAACCGCCAGCCTTCTGGTTAGCAGTTAAAAGTGACAGTGATGCAAAATTGTCATGGAGAACTCAGAACACATAGGAGAACATGAAAGAACTTAACCCCTGAGATGTCCCTGTGGGAATAGCCAGGGTCATTGGAGGATGGATAGCACCATCCACTTAGCTGTGCACTGCTGTGTGCTTAGTCAAGTAGGGGCTGGGCTTGGTCTCCCCACTCCGCCCACCAACTCTTCTCTGCCCCATGTGCTGGGCTTACCTGAGTTCCCTGGAGTTCCAGGCCCGGAAGCAGCAGAGTATACAGCCGGGCCCCTGGTGCAATTGTCTCTGGCACCTGAATGATCTCTCCAGCTGACCAGAGAGGAAATCAGGAAGCTCTGTTGAGGCTATGCCTGCCCACCCCATCCACTGCTCCCAAACTCACCTGGGCTGGCAAATTGGCCAGCACACTGGATATGATTGGGGTCCCGCTGCACATCCAAAAACAGCGGCCCCTCTGTCACGTGGTTGCCACATGTGAATCGCAGCTGCAGTTTGTAGTGGTTCACTGCTAGAGCATCAAGCCAAACCGAACTGCTGAGGGTGACCTATGGCAGATGGGCAGTGTTGTATGGGGCCTAGGCTCTCTGTATTACTATACCATCCTCAACTTTGAGAATTTCAGTTCTTCCCTGTGCCCTCATGGTCCCCAACTGTGCCCAAGGCCATACCTTGCCTACATAGTAGGAGCCTTGCCTCCTAGTCAGGCTGGGTGGGTTGAAGAAGGTGGTGGGTGGCTGCACATAGAGCAACTCCAGGGTTGGCGTGTAATAGGAGCAGTTGAAGGAGAAAGACTCAAGGATAGTGCCTGGGCCCTGGCTTTCAGAGACATTCATGAACCAGGGGAGGCTGTGGAGGTCTGCAAGGGGCAGGTGATTCGAGCTGGAGCCCTCCCACCCCCACTCAGTGTGCACAGAACCACACACATGAGCATAGCCCTGCCCCTCTACTGCAGGGCCTGGCTACATCTCAAGGCCAAGCAGTGAAGGCCCTTCTTTGTCCCCCACACCCAAACATGGGTCAGTTCATTATATAGATTTGGTTGAGGAAACCAAGATGAGGGATAAGGGTCAGAGTTTTATATCCTTGCCCTTTTCTGGCTCTCCCCCAGCCCCTGTCCTCCCCAGTAGCTTATCTGAGAAGGGCCAGAACTCCACTGTGAAGTTAGAGGTGAGAACTGGGGGGCTCCCCCACCCACTGGCTCCTCACCAGAGACACTCAGAACAAGAAGGAGCACTAAGGGCCTGAGCAGCACCATGGTGGCCAGAAGACACAGCAGAGTGGTATCCGGAAGGCTAGATATGTTTGTCAGATCCACCAGGTTGCCAGGTCAGTTGCTCAGACACAGCTGGGCAGGCAGGGCTCCTAGGCTGCCCAGATTCTGGCCCCGCCCATCCCTGGTGACCAAGCTGTAGATCCCCAGCAAGCATGGAGAGGCCCATGTGATCTCATTTCCTACTGTCCCCAACCCATTCATCACCATGGCCCATGGTAATCTGCCCATGAAATCTGAGTCCAACCATTAGCAATATCTCTCAAAAGTTGTCTATATTCAACAAGCAAAAGGGATCCTTGGGGTAGAAATAATAATGGTTACCTCTGGGATTATGAAGGGCATACAAGGTGGCCTTCTGAGGGCCTGGGGACATTCCATATTTTGATCTGGATGACCAGTGCACAGGTGTTTACAGATTTCAACATTTATTGGGTTGTACCTTTGAAAACCAAAAAACCAAGCCCATTGCCATTGAGTCGATTCCAACTCATAGCAACCCTATAGGACAGAGTAGAACTGTTCCATAGGGTTTCCAAGGCTATAATCTTTTTTTTATTATTATTTATTTTTTTTATTTGGGTGAAGATTTACAGAGTAAATTCACTTTTCATACAGCAGTTCACATATACATTGTCTCATGTCATTGACCAAAATTTACAATGCAACAGCTCCCCTCCCACTTACTCCCCATA